ATACTACTTATTTATAAAAATTAAACTAGGCGGGAGAAGTCATTCGATGATTTTCCCCTCTTAAAAAAAGGCGGTCAGCTTTCCACTAGCTCCATTATAGACCTTATTTCATATGTTTGGAGACTCATTTCGTATGAACAAATTTTGGGGATTTTCGGTAAGATATATCAACTTATAAAAAGGAGTTCAAATGCAATTTATTACATGAATTACGAAACTATTTCTTATTGCGATGTCTTCTAAAATGATCATAAGGTTCATTGTAAATTTTGCTGGCACGCTGCTGTTGAGGTTCATCTAATTTTGGTTTGCATTGTGAATAATTTACTTTCTCATAGCTATGATAGTTAGGTTCAAAATTGTCTGAGCTTCCTGGAACGTCATTGTTTGGTTGTATATCGGAGAAATTTTCACTGAAACATGAGTCGTACATCGATTCAGGTACTGGAGTCACTTCATTCTCATTTTGAAGATCGTTGTAAGGTGTCTGTTGACAAAAATATACATAGGGTAAGTTCCATTTTACGGACCGCCATGAATGTAAAACACCTAAAACGAGAAAAGGTAACACAGATAGGTATGTACTAAATACTATTTTCACAATACTCCTCCAATACAAGACTCCGTGCTACTACTGAGATTTTTTTTTAAAAACCCAGTATTAATTTGCTCCTTCCTTGCCCGGCAGTAGCACTTGCGACCACTCGGCCAACGTGGCAGTCTAAGTGCAGCCACTGGCAGAAGCTAACTAGTAGTGTATAATTATATCTCTGACCACGCCTTTGACGGCAAAATGCAAGACGTGAAATAAATATAACATACCTCGGTGTCTTTCGTTGGTCGCTGTCTTTTACGCCAGTAGACTATGCCCACAATGGTGATTATTAATAAAAGACCAGAAATACATCCCAATATTATGAATATATTAAAAGAATCTGAAAAAAAAAACAAGACTTGTTATATGTTTTTATAGTAACTATCGTGAGACATACTAAATTTTTAACCCGCGATTTTTAGTTAAAAATCGCGGGTTACTCACGTGAATATAGAATATACTCACGTGGTAGGCTGCGCGACATTGTCGCGACCGCGCACGCTGCTCATGAGGAAGAACCCCTCGGTGGTTCAAAACTAGTAGAGCTTTTCTCAGTATATTCACGTGAGTAACCCGCGATTTTTAGTTAAAACGTATTATACCTATTTATTTTATACATCTATTAATATATTAATCCTTACTAATATTATAAATCGGAAAGTGAGTTTGTTTGTTTGTTCCGCTTTCACGCCGTAACTATTAAACCGATTACTTTAAAATTTTTGCAGACATAAAGTTAGAAGTCCGGATAGAATAATAGGGTACTTTTTATCCCGGAAAATTAATATTCCCGAGGGAAAACAAAATTATTGGTATAGATGGCGCTGTGTGTATTGATTGGTATATGTCACATAGGCTACTTTTTATCCTTTTGTGACGCGAGCGAAGCCCCGGGTAAAAGCTAGAAAGAAATAAGCTTATGGTACGCGTAATGGTATGTGGGCACCATACAACACCTACATCTGCAACATTGAGGTATGAAGAACGCGATGCGAAACATATAGGAAACTTAATTATTAAGATTTTCGAGGCTTACTCACGTTATTGTTTGACGGGGAACTCGACTAGTTTCAAGCCATGCTAGAGGCTCATATTCATGAGCAGCATTCCGCGACACACGACGCGGCGACTATAGCGCAACTATTATCTAGTTCCTCGTCAAATAATTACGTGAGTAAGCCGAAAAACATAATAATGAATTTAGTATGTCTCATGACTTAATTAAGTTTATTTTACTTTATTTAACATGCTTTTATTTTATATGGTAGGATTAGCACAGACACACTGACATCGACGTTAATATGATTGTGATTTTTTACTTGTTTATTTAGTTCACTGACACTTGTCCATAATAAATGATATTGTTTGAGATATAAGCAATATTTATCCGTAAGTCTTTGTTGTAATAAGGTAAATTATAGTCTAAACATCAAATGTTAGAAGTAGCGCCATCTAGTTTGTCGATGAGAAGATACAAGTAGTGCCGTCTAGTTTTTTCATGGGTAGTTAACCGCGCAGGATACGCATCATCGCAGGTCGCCAAAATGTGTTTCTTATAAGTTTATAAAATAAATATATATAAAAAGTGTCCACCATTTATTTAAATGAAAACCAACCACTTATTAGTCTATTTAATCGTTATATATTTATTATAATGTTCCGAAACTCGTGTACATAAGGACCGGTTAGCTGTCACCGTCATCCGTGACGTCACAATCATCCGTGACGTCAGTCTTAGGACACACCTCACACTCATATGAGCGTAAAGTGAAATCTTGCAACTGACAATAAGTACACACGTACACATCAATCTATACAAAACCAGTGTATCCTGGTATCGCGTCGCATCATCTTTCCGCACATTTAACGTTCAGTTTATACTGGTTATGTAAAGCTCTATATGTAGCCTTGTGTGTACATAATTATAATATATTCAATACATAATTATGAACTTACATTAAAATTAAATTTTATAAAATGTTTACTTACCACTATTAGTATAAAGCTGGGTGAGGTTAGACAGAACATATTCCGTTATAAAATATACCCTGTAGATATATTTGTCATTCGGTTCTACTGAAATATACTCGCAATCCAGGTACGAATTGTTTAGGCCAACATGTAACCTAATCGTGAGTGACGTAGAATCAAGTACAGCCTTCGATTTCACACCTAAAAAAGAGACTAAGATGTGGTTGTTTTATTGTTTAATCTCAATGTAGGCTTTCGATCGATTTCGATTATTTATTAGCTAATCTACAGTTATTACATACATACATAACATTACGCTTTTTATCCCCGAAGGGCTTTTTTTTACGGGGGGAAAATCATCGAATGAGTGCTCCCGCCTTGGTGAGGCGGGAGCACTCATTCCATGCCATAAGCTCATATTATAATGATATAACTTAATGCCCACAAAATTGTGAATTAGGTACCTATTAAGGTTTTAATGAATAATTTTGTATGGAACTTATGGCACCGACTTCTTACCTATCAGTGGGTGGGTAACCTATCAGTACTAATAATAGTTATTTTTTGCTTTTTAGTTTTGACTTTTTGTTTGTTATTAGTTTTTGGTTTTTTGAAGTCGGTTTTTTTCACTATTTATGTTATGAGTCCCATGTAGTAGGGGGTGAACCTATTGCCATATACCGGGCACAATTCAAAACTCCGTGCTACTATTGAGGAATTAAAAAAATAAACCAGTAATACTTTGCCCTATCCGGGGATCGAACCCAGGACCCCTTGCCCGGCAGTCGTTCTTGCGATCACTTGGCCAAGGAGGTTATAGTTTTTTTTTAAACGTAGCTCCACAGTGTGATTGTCTCCAGTATCGTGGGTGCGTTTAAAAACATACAAGTTCACATACACATCACACCCAGACCCGGAACAATAATATGTGGATCACACAAAGAGTTGTTCCGTGCGGGAATCGAACCCGCTACACGTTACGCGGCAGCCAGTTGCCCAGGTACCGCACTGACCGCGTTATTATAATTATTGTATTTTGTCCATAGTAAAATTAGACTAGTCACCATGATTGAAATCCATCGGTTCTGGGACTAGCCGCAGGTCATGTCTATGGATGAGTCTATTAAGTAGGAGACATTATAGTGCACAAATACTGGTGCCAGGTGCACTCTTAGCGTAGGAGAGCCATGCTTCGGCACGAATGGGCCGGCTCGACCGGAGTGATACCACGGCCTCAAAGAAAACCGACGTGAAGCAACGCTTACACTGTGTTTCGTCGTGTGAGTGAGGTTACCGTAGGCCCAATTACCCTCCCCTTCCCCAATCTCCCCAATCCCTGAATCCCAACGATCCTCAAACTCCGAAACCCCAAAAGGCCGGTAACGCACTTGTAACGCCTCTGGTGTTCCAGGTGTCCATGGGCGACGCCGATTGCTTACCATCAGGTGATCCGTCTGCTCGTTTACCGACTTATCTATCGCAATAATGGGAAATAATTCATTATTAATTACTAAGGATCATTGACTGCCTCGTTGCCGGGCAGTCGCACTTGCGACCACTCGCTCGGAAAGGGGTCTCGGGTTCGATTCCCAGGTCGGGCAAAGTATTACTGGGTTTTAAAAAAATCTGAGTAGTAGCACGGTGTTTGAAATTGTGCCCGGTATATGGCAATAGGCCCACCCCCTATTACATGGGACTCATGACATAAATAGTGAAAAGTGGGTGTTACAGTGGCATAATGAACACCTCTGCCTACCCCTTCGAGGATAAAAGGCGTGATGTTATGTTATGTTATAATTAATTACTTGATAATAAAATATATCGTATGAAAACTCACATATGTTCATACAAAAGTAGTCTCTCAACATTGGAAATAAGGTCTATAATGAAATAAGTGGAGAGCGGTCATCGCAAACAATAGGAAGGATAAAATAGGTTAAGTATACAGGATAAATATAGTGTGAAATAAGATAAAATATAGATAATATAATAATGACTATAAATTTTTACCTGTTTTCGAATAAATTAATTGGACTTTCCCCTTCTCCTCAACATTTAAACAAGTCGCATAAATAGATTCGTTTTCAACAAATATGTAGTTTGCGTAGCCATCATAACGACTTGTTTTATTGTTGTATGTGAAATTTATATGTTGGTTGTTTATTGTCATTCGAACTCTTTCTGAAAAAAAGACACCAAAAATAATTTATTCTCGACTGGAGTGATACCACGGTCTCACCAAAGACGATTGCATTGTGTTTCGTCATGTGAGTGAGGTTAGCAATAACATTTTCTTAAGTGTGGGAGAGCCATGCTTCGGCACGAATGGGCCGGCTCGACCGGAGTGATACCACGGCCGCACAGAAAACCGACGTGAAGCAACGGTTGCGTTGCTTACCCGACCTTGGCTTGCTTACCTCGGTTACCCGAGGCCCAATTAATAAATCCCCAGTCCAATTCCCAAAAGGCCGGTAACGTACTTGTAACGCCCCTGGCGTTTTAGGTATCCATGGACGGTGTTGATTGCTTACCATCAGGTGATCAGTCTGCTCGTTTATGGGCTTAGATATCTCATATAAAAATATGTAAAGTCATCGGTTTACTTAATCCATATTTCACTATAATACCTACGGTGAAGGCAGGCGTCGTGAGGAAACCTGGGTTTAAGTCAATAATACAGTCCTCAACGCACTTGAGATACAACTTTTTAAGGGAGGAAATTCATCAAAAAGTCCTTCCTTGGGTGAGGCGAGAGAGATGCTAAAAACTACCCCGTTCCTGCTCCTGCTTCGAGCCGGGGCCTGCAAAGTTTTTCGTAGCCTCTCGTGAAACTTCTGGTGCTGCAGGTGTACTTAAAGTCAAAACTCAAAAGTCAAAATCATTTATTTCAATTAGGCCAGAATGGCACTTTTGAACGTCAACAACGTCACTTAGGCTGTGGTAGTAGGCATTTATAGGCTTTGTTCCTATACGTCAACAGCCTATAAATGCCCACTGCTGTGCAAAGCTTCTTCCCACGCGGAGAAGGTTAGAGCGTTAATCTCCAAGCTTGCTCAATGCGGGTTGGTGATTACAAACTTATAATTAGAAATTATAAGCCCAGGTTTCCTCACGATATTTTCCTTCACCGTTTGTCAGTGGTGTCTAAATCATTTTAGAAGACCTCCCGAACGGCGTTAGCACAATATGCTACGCCGATGACACGCTGGTGCTAGCGCACGGGAGGTCGCACCAGGCGGCGGCCGATTTAATGGCGACAGCGGTTGCAACAGTCGTTGAAAAAATCCGGCAGTTGGGACTCGAGGTGGCGCTCCACAAGTCCGAGGCCATGTGTTTTCATGGCCGCGGGAACGCGCCACCTCCGGGTGGGTCCCAAATAATAGCGGGAGGGGTTACCATCGGCGTCGAGACGACCATGAAGTACCTGGGACTCGTCCTCGACAGTCGGTGGAACTTCGTGGAGCACTTCCGACGTTTGGCTCCAAAGTTGGCGAGGGCGGGGGCTGCGTTTAAGCGCATCCTCCCCAACCTCAGGGGGCCAAACGCCTCCTGCCGGAGGTTATACGCCGGGGTCGTGCGGTCCATGGCCCTCTACGGCGCCCCTGTTTGGGCGCCGAACTTGTTGCGGCGTCCTGCTCGGACGCTGCTCATGTCACAGAGGGTCATGGCGATCCGAATGATCCGCGTATACCGCACGATCTCCGGGGAGTTGGCGAACCTCCTTGCCAGATTACCGCCGTGGGATCTGGAAGCGAAGTTGCTCGCGCGCGTGTATAACATGCGCGCGGAGGCACGTCGCCGGGGCGAAACTCCGCTGCCGCGCCAGATAAGTGCGTGGCGGGATGAGCACCGGCGCGATCTCATGGCGGAATGGCAGCAACGACTGTCGCAACCGGGGGCTGGGCTCGCTGCCATTGAAGCGATAAGTCCCCTCTTTGAGGAGTGGCTTGAGAGACGCTACGGCGTCCTCACCTACCGCCTGACGCAGGTCCTCACCGGACATGGAAGTTTCGGGAGGTACCTGTGTCTGATGGGGCGGGAGGAAACGCCCGGGTGTCATCACTGCGAGGACCGCCCTGAGGACACGGTGGAACACACGGTGGGAGAATGCCCTTCGTGGGCTGAGCACCGCCGTGTCCTCAGGGAAGTGATCGGCGATGGCGACCTCTCGCGTCCGGGCCTAGTGCAGGCCATGATGCGGAGCGAGGGGGATTGGGATGCCGTCTCCTCCTTTTGCGAAGCAGTCATGCTAGCTAAGGAGGAGGCGGGACGCGTGAGGCAGCGAAGCGCTGCCTCCTCGCAACCCAGCCATCGCGAAGGACACACCGGGCGTCGGGGATCGCGGGACGATCTCCGGCCACCGTAAGCGCGGGCCTGCGGACGGCGAGCATGGGTGGCTCCCCGTCCGACCAGAAACAGACCCGAGCGTACGGCGCGTCGCGTTCCGCGCGCGCCTCAAAGAGCCATCAGACCACCACAGATGGGGCCCAATAGGGCCGATGCCGATTCGGAGTCGCGGAGAACCTAACGGGTAACCGGGGCTCCGGCTCGACGTGCAGGAGAAGGAACGGGGTGGTTTTTAGTCAGTAAGAGTCTGACACTCCCTCCCGCCTCACCCAGGCGGGGGCAGTCATTCGATGATTTTCCCCCCTTAAAAAAAAAAAAAAAA